AAATTTTGGTATTTCAGTGAAAAACATCAAAAACTTATTTTCATACTCCTCTAAGTTCTTTCATTGATGAGTTCAAAAATTCTTCACGACGCTGCTACGAGGAGAAAAATTTTATTCCCATTTTTTCAAAAATTTTTCATCTCGCACATTTATTTTTTGTCTTCTTGTATGTTTAAATTTTGTTAAAAAGAAAAAAAATAAAAAGCCTATGTAGCATAAACGAGCCTGAATGAGATCTGACACGCGATAGAGAATTTTGAATTAGTTTTGAAATAGACAAATTGCACGATTCTGTCATCAATTTGTAATGCTCACTTTGGAAAAATAAACTCGGAAAAAAATATACATTTTTGAAATACAAATTTATACATTTGAAAAAAAAATAAAAAGTAACTTTAATTACAAATAGTTTTTTTTTTCAAATAAATTTTTGTCAATGGTTAAAATATTTCAACAAGTTTTAAATAATAATAATACTTTCATTTGTACATTCGTTTCTCTTATTTACTCTGCCATTCATTTAGGTCACGCCAAGTTCAGGTTTAAAGTTACAAAGAGTTTCATGTGTGGACCAAATTAAAATTTGGAATATCTGAATAAAAATAACATATTTTTCAACTGCATCGCATTCTTATTGCAAGTGAAAAAACACTAATCAATCAACCAACCATTTCAACCTACCAATCAATCAACCAACCATTTCAACCTACCAATCAAACAGCCAACCGATCAACCAACCAATCAACCAACCGACCAACCAACCAATCAACCAACCATCAAACACCCAACCGACCAACCAACCAACCAATCAACCAACCAATCAACCAACCAACCAATCAATTAACCAATCAACCAACCAATCAACCAACAGACCAACCAACCAACCAACTAATCAACCAACCATCAAACACCCAACCAGCCGACCAACCAACCAATCAACCAACCAACCAACCATTCAGTGCTTAGGCCTCCTTGTTCCCATCCTGCTAGCGACGACAAACAGCATCCTAGCCCTCCTCCTCCTCGCTCTGAATCAGTTCATCGCCATCTGTTATCCCCTCCTTGCACAAACTCGTCTCATTCCAGAGAAAGCTTGGGCGGTTGTGTTGATGACGTGGCTTGTGGCTTTTGTGGTGGCCACTACACCTGCTCTCACTATCGGAATATTGGCTGGTGTTAATGGTTAGGAAAATGTGTGTTAGTTTGTGTATTTGTTTGTTTGTATGTTTCTCAGTCTGTCTGTCTATCTTTGTCTATCTATCTACCTGTTGTTTGTTCATTTTTATTCTGTCTTTATGTTATGAAATTTTTTTAAAGGTTGCACGCTGTACAAGGACAGGACGAACCTTCCCGTTGAAATCAGCGTCTGTCTTTTGGCCGGGCTTGTACTTGTGGTTGTTGTGCTCTACGCCAGAATTTACGCCGAGGTTGTATTTGTGGAAAATATTATTACAACAACAATAACAACAACAACAATAACAATGGTTTATCATTACGACGATGAAATACATGACTATGATGATGAGGATTTTTTTGGTAATGAGAGATGTAAAGGTTTTTACTCTTTTGTAATTTTTATTGTTTTTTTTTGTTGCTTTACTGTCTGGTAAAACTTTTCAAAATGATAGTTTAAGAAATAGTTAAGTTAGACAAGCGCAACAAAAAAACTAACTTCAAACGTTTGTAAAATTATTATTAGCCTTTGTCACCAACAACACAAACAACAACACAGACAACAACAACAAAGGCAACAACAACACAAGCAACAACATTACAGACACCAACAACACAGGCAACAACAACACAGGCAACAACAACACAGACTACAACAACACAAACAACGACAACAACATAAACAACATAAACAACATCAAAAACACAAAACAGCGACAATAATGACAACAACAACAACGGAAACAACAAAAAGACACGCACGTGATCACATCACTTAGCACGGCGGGCAAATAATTTGAAAAGAAATAGGTGTGGTCGACCTTTTAAAAGTCTCGTAAATTGTGAAAAAATTTTTCGGAGAAGCAATAAAACTTCAATGGCTCCATATCTTTTATCTTTTAACAAGCCAAATACTCCTTTCAAACGTCACACTCATATTCATTTGGCTACACTCAACAACTACTTTAAACACGTTACTACACATACACACACACACACACACACACACACACACACACACACACACACACACACACAAACGAATACATTCAAATATATAAAGGTAGAAAATGCTCAAATGTTTTTGTAAATTTTACTAGATGCACACTTACAATTAATAAAAATGAAAATAAAAATAAAATAAAAATAAATAAAATAAAAATATGTATATAATTTCTCGACACACGTCTGTTTTCACACCTGTATGAGATGAATGTCATTTATGTTGAATATTTTCTGGTTTTTGAATATTTTTAAAATTTATTTCGTTCATTTTTTGAGCCCATATTATTTTTATTATAAAGGTAAATGTGCAACTATTTGTATAAAGGAATGAATAAATAGATATTCGTATTCATTTACTCACTCATTCACTACTCATTCATTCACTCATTCATTCACTCACTCATTCATCCATTCATTCACTCAGTTACTCATTCATTCTTTCATTCGCTCATTCATTCATTCATTTATTCATTCACTCACTCACTCACTCATCGCCTCAAGGTGGTCCGATGTAGAAAACGTACCCTCATGCTTTCCAGCTCTCCGACTAGAAGATGCGAACTTGAAAAAGTGATGACGTCATCACCATCGTTTCATCAGCAGCAGCATTACCAACACCAACCTGCCAACAGAATAACACTTCCCAACAACGTCAGTGACAGGATGTTCAGCAGGAAGCAGTTCACGCTGCTACCACATCGGCAGCAGAAGTCTTCATCATTGTCGACAGCAGCGACAGGACAGTTCCAGCCGACCAGGCATCGACCTCAGCGCCACCACAACACCTCATCCGAGCACAACTACAAGGCGTTCCTCACCACCTTGATCCTCGCTGGAGCCCTTCTCCTCTTCTGGCTGCCCTACCTCATCATCAGCTCCATCAACACCAACTACGCCACAGAATTTTTATTCAAATTGAAATTTTTCGTCTTCGACATCCTGCCGATGTTGACGTACTTGAGTGACCCAATCATATACGGCGTTCGTATCAGGAGCGTGCGTCTCAGCTATAGGAGAGTGTTTGGACCGATCATGTCAAAGATCTGTTGCTGTTGGAAGTTCATCCGACATTGCAGGAGAAAAACTGGCAGGAGAAATTACGTGGTCACTAAAAATGGACTCAGTGAAATGAATGCCAGCGGGAAGGCGAGGAATGGGAACGAGACGAGCATCAAGATGACCAGTATACAGGATCTCAGTGTCTGCCAGTAGTGAAAAATGAAGTTAAGATGTTGGATTCGCCGCCTAAATATTATACAACGTATTTACATATCTTTATATACGTAAACACCAAGGCATGGCAAACTCGATATCGCCAATTTGTCATTTAATTTTGTGCCCTCCTGGCTCAGTCGCGCAGTTAACACGGAGGAAGGTCCCATGCCTTCAGTGCTGCTACGGACCTGTCACGTGCTCTTTATCTCAATTGATTGTTCGCGAAACCAAATCACACATGTGTGCTGTGTATGAAAAAAAGTGTTTGTATTCGCATATTTCGTTCTCCTAGTCACTTATCTACGTGTTATTAAAGCTGTTGTTAAAGTTTTTGTGTTTAATTTTGCTTACAGAAATTGAAGTGCAAGGACACGTTTAACATGGAACACATGTTGCCACGTGCCGATGAACTTGTACAAAAATCAGATAACCAGTCGAGAAAAAATCTTTATTTGTTTTTTTTTATCAGTTGTCAGAATTGCTCTTCTGTTAATTTATTATTTGGACATCATCTCTCGTCAGAACTTGTCAACAAGTCAGCTTATCAACAAACATAATTGAAAACTAAAACCATTACTTTTTGAATACTTTATATAAAAATGTATATATTATTATAATTATATTATAATAATTTATTTTATTTATTATATTATAATTATAAATAGAAGATGAATGATTTTTATTTATTTAATCATTCATTTTCTTATTTATTCGTTTATTAATTTTTATTGACGGTTATTCCAATAACCACTGATTAACAATGTTCGTATTATGCTGCATAATATTTAAAATAATGGGTCGCATAATGGGTTAAGTACTCTTACAAACAAGTACAAGTGTGTGTGTGTGTTTGTGTGTGTGTCAAACAAATACGTGTGTGTTTGCGTGTGCAAGAGCGTGTGTATGTGTGTGTGTTGTGTGTGTGTGTTGTATGTGGTGTGTGTGTTGTGCATGTGTGTGTGTGTGTGTGTGTGTGTGTGTGTGTGTGTGTGTGTGGTGTGTTGTTGTTGGTGTGGTGTAATTCTATTCATCGTGCAGTTTAACATTGATGAACATATCACTCTGTGCATATTATTGTTGTTGTGTTGTGTTTGATTGAATGTTATTAAAGTGAATCGTAAGTTTCAATTTGTTTACTGCACTTTTTCCGAACTAATATCTATATTATCATTGATTCATTTGAGACCGTAGGTTATGTACATGTTGGTTTGTATGAGGAAATCCACTCAAAAATTATAACAGTGTTAATAAAACGTAGGAATCTAAATATTTGAACAGCAAAGCACACACACACACACGCACACACATACACACACACAAGCACACAACATTTCACATAACATACTCAGGTCTGAATTCATACAAAAGCTCTCATAAACAAACAAACGCCCGTGTCAGTTAAATCAACCGAATTTTACACAACAAAAAAAATGTTTAAAAAAACTAATGAAACTCGATCACTTGACAACATACAAACCACATACATACATAAACACAACAGAGAAAGAGAGAGATAGAAAAATGTGTGTATGTATATGTCATATGTGTGTGTGTGTGTGTGTGAGAGAGAGAGAGAGAGAGAGAGAGAGAGAGAGAGAGAATGATCAACCGACCTACCAACTTTTTTTTTTTTCATTTTAACTCATCAGCAAAACGTTCACGCACTTATTTCGCGAAAATGTTTTTTTATTTGACCTTCACCTTTCCTGTTCATTTGACCTTCAGATATTATAATTTTTTATTTGACCTTCATCTAATTTGTTTATTTGACCTTCAGCTAGTTTGTTTATATAAAGTTTATATAACTTAACTTTATATATATATAGTACATCTTGAGTATGTACGTATATTTGTATATATTTACATATTAATGAATAAAGAATCTTATATCGGTAACTGATTATATATGTAAATGTATAATTAAATGTATATATATATATATATATAATTATATATATAATTATATTTATATATAATTATATATACAAATATAATTATATATATATATAATTATATATAAATATAATTATATATATAATTATAATTATATATATAATTATATTTATATATAATTATATTTTATATACTATATAAATTTATATATTATATAAATATAATTATAATATAATTATATATATAATTATAATTATATATATAATTATATTTATATATAATTATATATATAAATATAATTATATATATAATTATATATAAATATAATTATATACATAATTATATATAAATATAATTATATATATAATTATAATTATATATATAATTATATATGTGCATAATTATTGATGAAAATCACAGCATGTTCGGCGTTATCAAAAGATTTATCTAGCGTTAGTTAATTAAAATTCAAAAGCGCTATCATAAAATAAAATAACATAAAATTAAACATATCCTCAATAAAATAAAGTTAAACGTAGAAATAATTGTCTGGCTGTGAAAAAATTGCAACAATATATATATATATATTATATATATATATATATAGAAAGAGAGAGAGGGAGAGAGAGAGAGAGAGATTTTATATATCAATTCATTTTCAATATATTTATATTTTCATTTTTAAATTTTTATGAAAAAAAGATTATTTTTATCATTTTTTCTTTGTTCAATGACTTTAAACTTTTTTTTATAAATTGATTCTTTTTGATAATTCATAATAAAATTTATAATTAAGGTTGAATAATTGAAAAATTATATGTAAATAAGAGTGAACATTACTGAATATGAGTGGGGTAAGTGTCAAAATTTTTGGTCACATCATGCGGAAGTAAAGAATGGAAAAATCCAACAACTACTGGAAAGAATGTAGTGGAAAGAAATCGCAGTCAACAACGAATAACATTCGTGAAGTCCTCGTGTCACTTGTTGTGTATCACCACATTTCGACTACTACAAAATGTTAAAGATCGGGTTTTGTGGAGGTCGGTGGTCGCCAATGTCTTGAAAGGATAAGGCACTAGAGAGAAAGAAGAAGAAATGTTCAAAAATTCAAATACAAAAAAGCAAGTTCATCTTTTTGTTAAAATTTAAACGTCAAAAGGTCGCAATCCATTTTTCAACATTTCAACCTTAAAATTGAAAAAAATGAAAATAAAAGTTTATTTTTGCGCAAAAATGTTTAAAAAAATGAAAAAAATTTGAAATATGACAGATTTCTTAAACGCATCATTTGGGTGCAAGATGAGGCATGTTTTCATCAATCAAAAAAAAATTTATCTCAGGAGGACACAAATTTTTGTAGAATTTTTTTTCAGGAAATTATGCTTTCCATTTTACGAGCTGTCAAAACTAAAGTGGAGTGAGTTGCCTTCCTTTCTTTCGTCGTTCATTCATTCATTCATTTATTCATTCGTCAAATTTTAAAAATAATCATTCATTGGTTCATTGGTTTGTTTGTTCTCTACATCTTGGTGGTTCGTCTGTTCGTTCGTTTGTTTATTCGTTTGTTTGTTTTTTAGGAACATCTGCACTTCTACATAAATCATATTTATTGCTCCTTCCTGTCAAATGCTCCTTCATTTCTTTTTCACAGACCAGCATAACTCAAAGACGCTTGATCATGTTCACATAACTCAAACGACCCAAAACACATCCACAGAAAAATGTTCTTGGATAAATAAGATTACTCGATAAATTTAATTTTTTTTAAATTTTTGTCGATGATAATAAAGAACCAAGCGCTTATACTACTCTTAAACACACACACACCACACACACAGACAAACACGCACGTGTATCAGTCGTTTGTTTCAAACATTATAATCCATATTAATGATGGAAATACATCAGATTCAACCGAAAACGAAAAGAAAATTTTAAAATACTCTCCAAACAACATTCAAATAAACATTTTTAAATAAAAAACTAGGACATTCTTCAATATAAATCATTATCTTATAGCGAACAGTAAGAGAAAAATCATATCTTTCAAAAAATTCATTTTTTTCCAAAATTAAGAATATCATTTACTTCAAAATTATTCTTATTTTTGGTTTTAACAATTAGCAAGAACCTATTTATATATGGAATTCATATAATGATATTATGTATTGATGTATATGTAGCTATATATTGAATATTTAAAATAATAAATAATTATTATTGAACATTTATTTAGCGCTTATATATATTTCTGTTAAAATTTGTTTAGATTAATATCAAATTAACAACAAAAACTCTGTTCTATTACATTTTATTTAAAAGGAGTGAAACCAACATAACTAATGAAACAATACCATGTCCAGGCCAGTACTGTCGGTAAAAATGTGAACAACAACGTAAAAGTTACTGATCGCTGGCCAGTCGTTATTTAAAGGTGTTTCGTCTTTGTTGAGGAAGTAACTCCCCCCCCTGAGTTGTTGAAGTAACTCCCCCCTCCCCCATTCACCCCTTACCCTGGATCCTATCCTGTTTGCGAGCAGTTGTGTCTAGACAAACCGTTTTAAAAGGTTAAGTGGTTCGCTAAGCATGAAAGTTTCCAACTGTGATACAGTTGAATATTTTTTTCGCTGTTCAAATGTAAAAATTCTGTAGCTAATCCATATCAACCAACCAGATTAACATCACATTAACATCAATGGCAAACCGGAATCTCCCTATCTTAGTAGGATTTCAAATGATCATAGTGAAACAACTGACACATTCAAAATCACAAAACAATATAGCATTTTTTAATTTTCGTTTAAAAATTGTGAATTAATGCCGAGAGTGCAGTAACAAAAACGAAATTCTTTCTCTCTCTCTCTCTCTCTCTCTCTCTCTCTCTCTCTCTCTCTCTCTCTATCTTTCTCTTTCTATTTCTCTTCAAAATAAAATTCATTTTAATTACATGAACGTCAATGTATCACAGAAACAGAGTGTTATTCATTAACAACCCATGCGATCATAAACCAAGAAACATGTAGCTGACCATTAAAATATAATTACATGACATGACTAACTAAAAATAATAATTTAATATACATAGTGTTTGGTGAGTTCAGACATCGTCATTAAGCTTCTTGTTTAAATGACACATTGGTTTTTTGTATATTTGAAAAAGATTTGCTGAACTAAATTGTTTACTGAAAAGGAATAATAAAAATTTCACTTAAGTATGAATTATCTTAAAAAGTTTTTTGTTTCTAGTTAATAATAATTGACCGTGTAAAAGGACCAATTTGGATCCACCGTGAGTGAGGTGTAGCCGTTGGTGTGAGCATTCAGTTGACACAATTTGGAGGCTGGGTGGAAGCTGATGGAATCACATCCCCCCAGTTGCTGGCACTTATGCATGCAGTCCATTGCACTTCTAGCGTACAACTGATTGAACTGGAATCCAATCAGCAGTTTGTTGGCCTGTCTTTTCCATATTAAGGAATCTAATTTGGTTTGGTAAAAAAAATTAGTTTAGAATTTAAAAATTTGATTACCCCTATCATTGGCCCCTGCTGTTTTTTACTTAATTAAGAATTAATACATTTGAATTCTCTTTTTTATCACATTGGAATGAAAAATACTCAATACAGAGTTACAAAAAATAACAACTATGATTCACTAGTTCGATATATCAGAATTCGATATATGAAAGAAGTGTTTAAACCAAATTTTTTTTCCGGAGACATTACTATTTTCGTTCATCATTTTACGTTGATATTTTCAACCAATTCCTACGTATTAGCAACGTTGTTTAATAAAATTCTCCAAATATACACACTGGCCTTTGAAAACAAAATTCATTTACAAACTTCCAACTAAACATTTTTGTATGGACCGAGGGCTGAAGCTTCGGTTAAAAACACTCAAGAATAAAATTAAAATAAAATGGGATGAATAATAATAATAATTATCATTATTATTGTTGTTGTTGTTATTTACTTCGATCCAGTGGCTCGAAAGCCTCCAGCTCACAGACGTGGAAGTATCCATCGCCAGCTGTAGCACTCGCCTGCGCAATCAGGTACCTATATTTGGGCAAGTTGGCATTGCATTTCAGGCCGGCTTTGATCCCCGGGTTGACGAGGCCGGGCCACGTGGCACACCATGGGTAGGTGTTTCTAACTGGAGGGGATGTCGCACTCGATACGTTGGTCAGTCCGATGATGAAGTTTTCCATACGGTTCATAATAATTTGGACATCATACCCGCCTACAACATTTGAATATTAGTTTGGATTTTGAAATCCTTGCGGGGTTTTATAAAAATTTCAAATGGCAGCCAATGAATAGGTATAATAAACGTGTGTGTACAGTGTATATATAAATATATATTATTTATATGATTTTCATAATTATATTTGGAAGAGATCTAATAGATTTAATGGGTGCTGACTGACAAAAATTTTGAAATGAAGTCATCAATAATTGGATTCCAAAATTTATTCATCACGTAAAATGCTCTTTGATGTTCAAGAAGGTCGGCACAATTTATGCAAACCTTCGTAGTCTCTGGCTGTCAGAACAACGTAATCAACGCAGTAACTGCCCTGCATGTCGACCATGAACCAGTTCCCTCCACCTCTCGGATCTTTGGTGTTACTGCAGTGGCAGTGGAAAATAAAATTGTCAAAAAATCCATCCACGACAAACTTGGCAACATAATCGGAACAGTAGCTGTCGAAGTAAGAAGAACTACTCATCGCTGGTTTCTTCAGCAGCAAATTGGTTCGGTATCCTGTTAAAAACACTTTACAGTGCGTCGGATAATTTTATCAATTAAAATATATTAACTTCCATAAGGAACTCCATAGATTTCCCATTCGCAGACGGACATGTATCCAGTAGAGTTGGAAGGTTGTTGCAGTATGACGTATCTGGCTGGAGGCGTAGTAGAGGAACAATTCAACTGAACCACCTGCTTCGAAGCAACCACACCTGGATACTGAGCACAGAGATCGTAGGTGCCTCCCACTGGCGGGTGAAAGTCCAGGGACCTGTTTGTCACTCCCACTATGAAGAAGTTCAGATCGTTCCAGAGTTGTATGATATATCCGTCTAAATTTTACACAATAAATTTTGGATGTTTTGCTGACGCTTTTCAAGAAACAGAATAAATATTTTCACTAAACTACGATAGAAGCCACAACAAATTTCTAGAAACGAAATCAAATCTGATTTTGCGAGATTCATTTAATTCGCTTAATTTAAGCCAAAATAGTTGACAGAAATCGTATTATCGGTCCGCACTTGGAGGCGTGCTAAGGAGGTTTGAGCTCATTTATCACAATACATTTTGACGGTCCCTACCGTATTTCATCTGTTTTTTTAAGTGAGCTTTAGTCTTTTATTAGCTAACAATTTTGTTTCTACTGACACTCATTGTGGTTATAATTTTGCTCATAACAGTCTGACTTGCCCGTTCTGCCATGCTCAGCCTACATTTTGCCGAGAACTTGCTTAAGCATTTTGAAAAAGATAATAAAAGTTTTTTGTGGCTAATTGGCAGTTTAACTTTTGGTTCAATGCTACACGTCAAAAATTTCCAACACCCCATATAGAAGAGGATCTTGTAGAAAATTCTAAATCCTTATTACTTTTAAAACGTGTTAGAGAAGATATATCGCTAGGAATTGTTGTTCACACAGTTTATTATAATTTTCAAAATATAAACTCTGATAAGAAATAAAATGAAGAATACTTGTGCCGGCGTAAAGAATGGTGAAAAAAATTTTGAAAACGTTTCCGAGATCAACTGCAATCCAGTGAGGTAGGACTTCAGGCTTGGTCAGTGAGCAGAGGGAACCATCACTTACTCCGTCCACAGCTAGAGATCCAGTGAGACTTTGGTGATCAGTGACGTAGTAAGCAGAACTGTTGTACGTGTAGGCACCTAGTGCAACGTTCGTCGGAACTTCCTGCTGGCCTTGTGTCGAGTTGTGTTTTAGATTCGTTTTAAGGTAGCGTAAAAAAGTTATTTGTCAAAAAAGTTCGAATGTGAAAGAATTGAAATAGTTCGAAATTGTTTTGAAGAATTGCGAAAAAAAAAAGAAACGTACCAGATGTCGTAAATTGAATTATCAACAAAAATAACACTGCTACTGGTTTTATATACAGCATTTTTTAATTTTTATTTTGAATTAACGGTTTATTTTATAGAATCAAAGACTTAATCTGCAAACAGAATATTTTTAATGATTTTTATTAAAAATTAAATTTTAAAATAAATACACATTAATAAGGTATGCCATGCAAAATTTTTTCCACATTTTCAAGAAAAGAGAAAGAGCATTAAGCTTCAATAAATGCACTACGGTTTCAACTAACAGCCACACAAAATTACCATTTAAATGTTTTCAATGTTATTGTCAAGTTGTACCGGTCGGATATTTTTATATGCTTCAACACAAAAGGCAATAATGCAAAACAAATCTCTCTCTCACTCTCTCTCTCTCTCTCTCTCTCTCTCTCTATATATATATATATATATATATATATATATATAGTATATATAATGTTTTCAATGTTATTGTCAAGTTGTACCGGTCGGATATTTTTATATGCTTCAATACAAAAGGCAATAATGCAAAACAAATCTCTCTCTCACTCTCTCTCTCTCTCTCTCTCTCTATATATATATATATATATATATATAACTTCTCCGCTTATAGACTATGTCAATTATCCCATCAAAAACACTACTTTTCAAATTAAAACAACGGCTTTTACCATCTTTCAACACAAATAACGCTTATAACGGGTGGGCCAATATAGTGGCGGATCAAGGCGAATATATATATATATATATATATATATATATATATATATATATATATATATATATATATATTATATATATATATATATGTTATATATATTATGTCTATACATGCGTGTGTGTGTGTGTGTGTGTGTGTGTGTGTGTGTGTGTGTGTGTGTGTGTGTGTGTGTGTGTGTGTGTGTGTGTGTGTGTGTGGTGTTTGTCTGTGTTCTCTGCCTGCATATGTATGATGAATACATTTAGAATACAATGCAATTTAATTTATAATTACTTTTGTTTAAAAATAATTGCATAGCATAGTCAGCTTTGTTCAACTTACATTATTTATTCATTGCAAAAAAGGTTCATTGCAAGCATAACTACATCATGCATAACGGTCTTTCTCTCTTTATTTTTCTCTTTTTTCTAGTCATCTACTTTTTATTTGTTCACTCTATTTCTTATGTATACACACACACACACACACACACACATATATATATATATATATATATATATATAGAAAGAGAGAGGGAGGGAGGAAGAACGAGGAAGAGAGAGAAAGAGAGTGGGGGGAGTGAAAGTGAAAGAAAGAGAAAAACATTTAAAATTTTAAATTTTGAAACACAAAAAATTATTCAATGAACTGAATGAACTTAATACAAACTAAAATTGTTATAGACATATATACCGAAGTCTGAAATGTAATTTGAAAAGCGTAAGCTTTTGAGACACTTTAGGCAGCGCGCTAGTATAATGGCGCTGATTCCGCAGTGGACGGGTTTCAATGCCAAGAGATTCCCGCCTATAACATGCAATTTGAGTGTCATCTGGGTTCGTCATACATTTTGTATGCTACTAAAGCTTGAATTTTTGGCATTAAATCTAAACAAAAGTTGCACATAAAGACTGTTGTTTATAAATTTTAACGATTTTAACTTGCAATTTGTTTTATTCGCATTGAAGCGTCTAAATTGCAATCATTAAGCACTGACCTGTTTTTAGATTTAATTAAACATTCACGTAAGTTAATGTTTGTCTGCACAAATTTAGGTACATTAAAAACATATGGACAGCAATGAGTTCATATAATGAAAAGGTAAATAAAGATAATCAAGTCTACGGAGCAAATCTTTTTAAATCCATCCACCCATCCATCCATTCATTCATCTGATTCATCCGATTAGATTTCTAAACAACTGGCTGCGAGACGAGACAAAGTCTCTGGATTCGACCAAACACCGTAGCGAGACGCGATGGAACTGAGTATTAAATTCGTCATCTTAATGAGAAGTGTGGTTAATTAAGTATTTTTCATTTTATGTTTTTAATGAAAGGAATGGTCAAATTGTGTTTAATTGGATACAGTTCTTCTTGCGTATGCTGTTGCACTGTGTGTTGATTGTAATGACGTTTTTGCTGGTGATATGAGTGTCGTTTAAAGGCCGTTTTAAGGCGTTTTTTTTGGTCGATATTTTTTTTTATTTCTTTTCAAGGTCATATATATATATATTAATATATTAATATATATAGAGTTATATATATATATTAATATATATATATATACATATATATATATATATATATATATATATATATATATATATATATATATATGCTCAAAATCAAGCAAGAATTACCCCAAATCTCCAAGGTAGTGGAGAAATGTAGTCCACTCACTCTATAGATGAAGATATGTGTGAAGATGCTACTAGTATTCGTTGTGAAGCATTATGCATTTCGATTCCGACTTTTTTTGCGGAGGAGACACCTATTGTCATCATTTTTTTGCCATTTTTCAAAAATTTCCATGAAAAACCCCTAATATCTCAGAAACAATCGCGATTTTTATAAAATTTACTACTCCTAAAAATTATTCTAGTTGAATATGGCTGAAAAATTTTTATTAAATTTTTCTAAATAAAAATATTATTTATAACACCGGTATTTACTTAGCGATAAACATATTTAGCAGCACCTAATTACACGTGGATACAAATTTGAAGCGTCCAAAATAAACGCGATGGGTTCTGAAAGTTCATTATTGACGCGGTCGTTTAATTGCAAGTAAACAATTTAAATTTTTTTTTTAATTCCATTTATTCACAAAATAAGTGAAAGAGTCAGCCTAGCAATAAATGCTTATCTAGGGTTGACTCCCATAAAACAAGAAATAACATAATAAATAACACAAAAAATAACACAATAACATAAATGAGTAAAATAAATGTCTTTTAAATTCTTCAATGTTTTTAAATTTTTATGAATAAACTTTGAAATAAAACATTGATACATTTATAGTTAAAAATATATAGAATTAAAAATAAAATATTGATACATTTAACTTAAACAATTTAAAAATGTTCTCAACTTTTTTTTTAAATTCTTTTTAAATATTATGAATGTGTATACGACACTTCATCTTTACAATTCTCTTTTCAGCACTTCCAGATGTCTCAACAACAAACACACGGTGGGTGTGTATGTGTGAATTAGAGCCCCAAGCGAATAACCGCGGTTGCGGATAAAAAAATTCTCAAAACTCTGCGGATTCAAGTGCGTTATTTAAAATACCACCCGCAAAATTAAATTTTCAATTTTTAAAAATTTTCAGATTAAAAAAATTTGTTTCACGTATGCCTGCATAAAAATGTACGTGTGTGTCTTAAGTTATTGAAACGTAGGTAAGTGAGATTAATTTATTATATAGGTAGGCTAAGGCATAAGGTAATTAAGTTACATAGGTAGGTAAGGAACTTCTATTCTTTTACTCTTACTTGGGTGGGTGTTATTCGTTTTGTGTTTTTTTTATTTTGTTTCACACTATATATTCAACAGTACGCGGTGGTTCCTGGTTTTAGTGGGATTTTTATTTATTGAATGTTGTAGTGTGCATGGTTATATAGAGTTTCACCTCGACTCGTTTCTCTATTTTCATTTAAATTAATTAAATAAATAAGATTTTCCATTCATTTAGTTTCATTCAGTTTCATTCATCAAGGTTGAAGCTTCCAGATGAGTTCATCGTGGAAGATCAGAATGGTTGTGATGTCACGCTACGTTCGTTCATTCATTGGCAAAGAATGCACGCCTGGCTGGGATTCGTTTTACCTCTATGCAAGGAGGGAGAATGAAGGGGAACTTTCGACTGTTGTACCATGAACAATTTAATATAGATTAGTTAAGGTAATTGAGTAGGTAGATAGAATTATTTTTATAAAGTAGGCAATTTGAGATGCAAGCATCGCTAAGCTTTCTGAGCATCACAGCATATTCGGCGGTGATCGTAACGAAGGATTTTATAGGACAACATGGTTATGAAAATTTGAATGAAATGTTTGTTAATAGAAATAAAGTTTCAATTTTAAACAGACTTAATTTTGTTGATAAAAATTTACTAAGACTTTAATTATTATAAATATTATAATATATATTATTTATTTTTCTATTTATTTAACACAACTGACCAGAGGGCCATAACGGACCACTTACCCAATAAGGAAGAAAAAAGAAATGTTATAAAGCTAGGCAATTGGCAGACAGATAAAAAATTCAATAAATTATTAAAAGATTATAAATTAATTAGAATAAATATTTGCGAGGGTTGCTGGAGCGCCAACAAACATTCAATAGGACATACCTACCAATGAAATTACGATCAACCGTTAGAAAAATCGAAAAGTTAAATTGGAAGTTAACTAACGCCGAACATGCTGTGATTTTCATCAATATATATATATAAATATATATATATATATATATATATATATATTTATTTATTTATATATATATATATGTGTGTGTGTGTGTGTGTGTGTGTGTGTGTGTGTGTGTGTGTGCGGTGTGTGCGATCCCACCGATTTATTAGTGTTTAGTGTTTATCAACTTATATTCGAATTCTTCAATTATTTGTCTCAGTAAATTTTTATCAACGAAATTAAGTCTGTTCAAAATTGAAACTTTATTAATTAACATTTTATTAAAATTTTCATAACCATATTTTCCTACTAAAATCCTTCGTTTGCTGAAGATCTGCTAACGATTATAACCATATGATTATAGCAGTGTAGTAGTGTTATTTTTACAATTCCCATTTCAGGAAAAAATACTAATGTGATGTAATGTAAACTACTGTAATGTTTGTGATACTGTGATTAATTTTAATCATACCTTATTATATATAATTTTAATTATATTTAATTATATACATATATGTAGAATAACATATGTATATTGTATATATATGATTTATATAATTTTAATTATACCCATGGAATTATATTGTATAATTCTGGAATTTATATAATATAATATAATTATATTATGTAATTATGGAATTTATATAATTCAATGATTATAACTAATTATATTTAATTATTATGACTATATTTAATTATACCTAATTATATTTAATTATAACTAATTACATATAATTCAAATTATACCTAAATATATAAAATTTTAATTATACCTAATTATATTTATATATTATCTATGTATGTGTGTTACGATATATATACCATATATAGATACCTATCTACTTATAATCTTTGCTTGTTGTGCTATCACAAAATGGCGAACAATAATTTCTCCGGTTATACCAGTTCGAATAATTATTACTCATCAACTACGGAGTAAGTTTTTTTTTTAAATTAATTGAATTTACTAAAAATGGAACAATTATTATTTATTTTGATTTGTTTCAGTCCGCAGTATGCCCTCTACGGCGGTTACTACGCTACTGTTCCCACAATGGCTTCCAATTCACAGTCACAAGGACAAGGGTCTCCTCAGGTTCGTCCGTTCTGTCTACTTTCTCTTTTTTTATTACTAATTATAATTTTCACTATCATTCTTTCAAAATTTAATTTTTTATGGTATTGGCTGCTAACTTAACCACCACCTTTGATTAAACTTTAATTAACTTAATTATAAATTATAATAATTATTTAAGAACTTTGAAACTAAATTAAACCAATTACTTAACTAAAGTCAATAAAACTAAACTAAGGACTAATTTTAACAATAATTTAATATTATTAATAATAAATAGATAAACTTCAGTTAGTGATAGTGATAAAACTTTTTTAAATAACATGTGTCAACCTTTGCAGATGAGTATACCTCAGTCAGCCAGCAGCACTGCTTATGCATTCTCAAGTGGAAGTTATCCAGTGCCGAATTATGCATCCAGCAGTTCACAGTGTTAGTACTTAATATAAATCTGGATTGTTGAATTTTTTCATCAAAATGGCTTCAAAAATAACCAAATGAACCATGATGAGTTGATAAATATTGTACATAAATAAAATAGTTTTATTAAAATATAACTGACATGTTTAAACATAAACCCTGCAAAACAGACTACGGTGGCTATGGACAGGATATGAGTGGATATTCAGCCTATGCAAGTGCTGCTCAACCGCATTCAAACCAGGACTTCATATACAACTACCAAAATATTGAGCAACAAGCAGCTGCTTTTATGCAGCAGTACACAGCTGCTGCTGCTGCTGCCAGCTCTACATCATCTGCAGTTAGATCTGTCACAGAAACCTCAGATGACCAGCCTCCAGTTTTCGGAATTGAGCCACAACAGTTGGAACAATTCTCTCATCAAATTCAACAACAGTTCTCAAACATGTACCAACAACACCCAGCCCAGCAGCAGCAACAACAACAATCAAAGCAGCAGCAACAACATACAACTCATCAGCAGTCATCGTCACATCAATCACCAGCCCAACAACACGGCCAACAACTGACTGCAGAGCAACAAAAAGAGTTTCAGCGAACCTTCCAGCAGGCTTTTGAGAAAAATCTGCAACAACAAATCAAGCAACAAATTCTGCAACAACTTGGACAAACTGGTAACTTAGGTGGGGCGTCAGTTGTTGATGGGGTTGCTGTATTTTTTGGGGATGATAGTGTCGGTAAAAAATCATCTTCTGGGAGTGTTCATGGGGGTAGTGGGCAAAAAGGGGGTGTGGGGAGTGCTGGGGGTGTTGAGGCAAGTGGGAAGGACAAATCAAAGTATTATTGTTCCGTTTGTGATGTGGTCTATGCTAATTCCTTGGTGAGATCATAGCTTCTCATCTTTCATTTGTTCACTCACTTGTTCATATATATGCATTCTTTTTAGTTTTAATAACTCTGATTTTGTTAATGCAATTAAATGATTGGGGTTAGTAGGGAATTATAAGAGATTGATGTAACGTTCTCGTGAAGGCTTATAAGAATTGATTTAAATGAAAACCTTTTACTACCTTGTCTGGTCGTAATCATAAATCATTGCATCATTTCAAACAGGCATTCACGAGTCACTTGGGTAGTGAGATGCACAAATTGAAAAAAGAGAAAGCACTCAAAAATCCTCCGAAAGACAAACGACCTGAGGAACAACAATGGTCGTCGTCGTCATCTGGAAAAATTTACGTTAGTCCGGAGCCAGTAGTAAAGCAGCAGCAGCAGCAGCAACCACAATCTCTCTACGCTCCAGATGGAAGGAAATTGTTATGGTGCAAGCTCTGCGAGGTGTCGTGTGCTGGTGCTGATCTGTATGCACAGCACATCAAGGGTGATGCCCACCAAAAGGTTGTTGGTGGTTCTTTTTTTGTTTGTATCTAGTGGAGGTTTTATTACTATAATCATAATCATTAACTTCATTAATCATTAACTTCATCACCTCCATGATGATTGAAATGGCGTTCTGGCAAACTGCTTGCTCATTCATATAAGCCAGGCATGACAGGGTTTGAATGCATCCCATCCAACATGTAAACTTATGTCATGTAAAGTTTCAATCGATTGCTTGCTTGCAAGGGAGCTTATTTCAAGAACTGTTAAAACTCTATACATGAAACACTATATAAATTGCACATAATTATAACCATTATTATTTTATTACTATTTTATTATTACTATTGTTGTTGTGATTAGGTACTCCAGATGACAAATGAACAGAGGAGGCAGCACATTCATCAGAAAAAACTGCTGAAACCTGAAGGTTAGTAAGATGCTGATTCAATTAATTATACCAATTTAAGTAATGACTCTAATTTAATTAATGACATTAGCTTGTTTATTGACAATAATTTATTTAATGACATTGATCTAGTTAAATATTGTATATATATTTTGCATGTTAGTTTGTATTGATATATATGATTTGTATTTTAGTTTGTATATATGTTTTGTATGTTTGTTTGTGTATATGTATTGTATGTTAGTTTGTATATACACATTGTATGTTAGTTTGTATATGTGTTTTGTATGTTAGTTTGTATGTATGTTTTGTTTATTCAAGTTTTTTATTTTAAGTTAATGACATTAATGTAATTGATTAACATAGAGTTTGGAATGTCACTTGACTCCGTGCATTCTCCAGCTGCCGTCAGCCAAGCAGTGCCGATCGATGAAGATAACCTTGGTTAGTCACTTTTTATTTTATTATTTAAAAACTATTTATTATTATACAATTATGCTTTTGTTTGTTTAAATGTGTGTGCTTGGATTGATAGAAATTTCAAATACTCAATGAATGGCATGCATTTTACTTATGGTCATTTGCAGACGTTGTGATTGAAATATAGATAGATGTGTATTATTTATTAGCTTGATGCTCAACTGGAATCTTTGGCTGTTTTCGGTAAATGGTTATTGTGGTTGCAATGTGAAGATATCTGTATGAATATACGTATTAATACAAACATTTGTTTAGGGCTGGTAATGCAAAGAGTGGAGAGTTAATAATGCCTTATTGTTTTATTAAACTGCAGCATCAATTCTTGTGATTTTTTTTTTGAAATTCTGGAAAGTGGAAAAAATATTTTCCAAAAAAAGGTTCCGAATACATAGAGGAGCTGAGGAAAGAAGATGGAGAGCTGATGAGAATCTTCTGCAACCTCTGCAAGGTCGATCTCAGCAACTTGGATACTAAAATGATACACATGAAATCTAGCAAGCATGTCACTCTTTATTGGGTAGGTGTGCGCGTGTGTGTGTGCGAGTGTGTCTGTCTGTCTGTGTGTGTTTGTTGTGTATGTGCTTGTATGGTTTTACATTATTCAAGTTTCTTAATTGGGTTTTAGTTATTCAAATTATTCATTGCAGTCAACATTTCCTCATTGATGGGTGTGTGTCGGTGTGTATGTGTGTGTGTGTGTGTGCATGAGAACATCTTTTAATATAAATCTTTACAACATTCCAACCTTATCTTACAGAAATGGATTATTAACTACATACTTACCAAGGGTACAATGACACTACTGATTACATTTTATCATTTTTTGTCATTTTTTTTATCATATCCTCTGCATTGTTTTGTATGAGTGTAATTGTGTATGTATGTGTATGTATGTATGTGTATGTATGTATGTGTGTGTATTTGTGTGTATGTATGAATGAATGAATATGAATTAACTTGGAACATCATGCAGGAAAAAAAGCAAAGAGAAGGAGTCCCTCCCCCATCTCATCAGCAGCAGCAACAGCAGCTTCACTCACTGCAACATCTAAACTTCAGTGCATCACATACCACAAAAGATTATCCTGATGTGCTTGTCCAGAACATCGGCTCGGCTCTGCAGCAGCAAATACAGCAACAGTTCCAACACCAGATCCAGCAACAACTTCAACAGCAGTTCGCTCAGAGTTATGGCTACGCCCCGTGTGATAGCTTTCCGGGGTCTGCCTACTACAACAACCATCACAGCCATTACTCTCAATATAACAAAGAATTTGCAGAGTCACAGAGGTTTGAGCGCTCGAGGAAATTTCCTCCCAATAGAAAATGGGCACCCGGCAGTAGCGGTGTTAGCACGAAACCAGATTTCATTGTTCTGGGTGGTTCTGATAGTGGCTACAATAAATATGATAGTCTTGTCAGAGAGAAACATTCGCTTGTTTATCCCTCTACCGATGAGGTTAGTTGGCTGATTAATTTTTTTTAGTTGCTTAATTGGTTGGTTGGTTTGATTGATTGATTGATAGGGTTGTTAATTGTCATTCGTTGGTCTATTGAAAAAGTTAATTGATTGATGGATCGATGATTGTTACAATTTATTTTGTTGGCAAGGAGTTTATTTGTTCACACGATTACAGTTTAAAGCAGTGCAGAAAGTCTTAACAGATGTTGACAAATGGTTGAAACCAATTGTAGAACCTGTTGAACCATCGCAACAACCAATCACATCGAAGAGAATCGGGGCAATCGCTAAGGGTCTCCTCATTCGAAACCATCTTGTCCTTGACATTCTTCTGATTATGCCTAACTGGCCAACGAAATCTGACCTGAGGGGGATTCTCAATAAGCTTGAGAATGCTATGCAAGCTGAGGTTGGTGTGTTATTGCTTCTGTCTGTCGTCTGTCTGTCTGTTTCACTGTTCCTGTCACTTAAACTTGATGTTTTTAGTGAAATTTTTAAATTCATATTCACGTCAATAACATTTTATTCACCAATATTGAGGATTTTTGGCATGTTTTTTAATGAATTACAGTTCATTATAATGGTAAAAAATAATTTGCAATAATATCAGATGTAATATAATAATGATTTGAGTGCTTGCTGTATTTGAAATAAGTTATGTAATGAAAACTCTTTAGCAGGAAATTTCTGCAACCATCATCATCTCTTAATCACTCACTCATTTTCACTCGTTAAAAGTATGCATGTGCATGTGTAGTATACAATTTATTATTATCATCATACTAATCAAAGAATTAGTAGAGATTTTTTTATAAATTACCAAACCATTAGCTGCACCTTGTAGTTATGAAGTTTTGACGTCATGTTTTGATGGCAGTTTGATGTATAATATTTTGAATTTTTTCCACTTCTACCTACCTAAGAAACAGCCATCGACAGCTTCGACCACACCCTACTCAACATCGTTGTCGCCAACTGAGGAATCCATCGTGGTCAAGTGCAGGTCTGCCCCGTTTGTCGTCTGCAACATCCACGTGACCTGTGTCAAGGACAATTGTGGTTGTGGCGATGGTGATGATGAGATGCAAGGTGATGATGATCGTGCCCCCAAAACAGGTTTGATGTTTTATATTAGATGAATGAATGAACATGTTTTTGGTCGCGAAAAATTTTTTCCTTGACCGTTTAAATTAAGTCTGTACGTTTAAATCATTTAAAATATGCGACAAAACCCAGGTAAGGAGCAGAGCAACGATAGGGATGATGTTGGTGGCGGGAGTAGTGGCGTTGAGGTCGTTGATGTAGATCAAGAAGCTGATAGGATTGATAAAGAATTATGCGCCAAGCTACTGAAAGATCTCGATCATACTAAGTGGTTTCAGGTTAGTTTGTTGGCTGGCTGTCTGGCTGATTTGATTGGCTAGTTAGCGTCTGGTGAGTTGTGAGGTGGAGGTTTTTATTTGGTCTTTTCCCATTATTCATCAACCAATCACTAACTTTGCCCGCCCACGTCACTTAACCAGCTAATCATATTTCACATTGAATATTTTCATCCTCCACATAGACGAAAGCCAACATGCTGCCATCTTGTGTTCTGGTGGTCCGCGTCCTCAAGAGCATCACAAACACCATTGGGGATCTCAGCGACGAGGTTTTTGTTAATGATTGTGGTGGTGTTGTTGGTGATGTTTTGAATAATATTTTACTTTGGTACGCTAGTAACAATTATAATTGCATGAATTCGTACCTTGTCACTGAACTCTAGGACCATGTCACATAAAATAACATAACATTATAACCTCACATTATTATTATTATTAAGGTAATTAACATAACATTTTAACTTGCAACTAGTTGATAGAGCTCGGAGTCTATAGAGTCCTGAAGACGACACAGAAACCTTGCACTCCTGGCAAGGCGTTCATCGGTTTTATAAAAAGTTTGGCCTCTGGATCACTCCTACCTGACGACCATCCGATGAAAGTTGAGATAAAATGTAAGTCTAGTGGTGCTCAGTTGGTTAAAGATGGTAGTGATGGTGGTGGGAGTGATAACAAATTGGATACCGAGAAGATTGATGCAATTCGTACTGGTGAGGATGGGGATAGTAGGATGAAAGTTTCCGATGGTGAGAATGTGGAAAATTTGGAAGAAGCTACTGAGGATGGAAAATGTGGTGAGAGAAATGTCGATGTGGACATGCACCAGCAAAATGAACATGAAACTAAAAATAATGGTGACGCTGCTACAGTCACTGCCGGTGCTGCTGCTAGCGCTACTGCTGCTGATGAAGATATCAGAAAAATTGACGTCATCATACACGAAAAAGTTTTCACTCATGTCGAAGATAATGAAAATGATAGAATGAGTAATAGTGATAAAAGTGAGAGTGATAAGAGCAGGGAGAAAAATATGACCTCGCAGCAATCAGTTGAGAAAGTTTTTGATGACGATGATAACAAGAGGTGGCAGGATGCTCTGTGTGGCATGGGTCTGGAAGAAAGAGTGGAAATAACTTCGAGAGCACAGGTTGGCTGGCTGATTGGTCGTTTGATTGGTTGTTTGATTATCTGCGTGAATATTTCTGCGGTTGGCTTTTTATTCAATTGTTTTGACCGATGATAATTTAATACTGATTAGTTTTTTATTTAATTGATATTCCAAATTTTCAATCCACCCAAAACAGAAACTCCTAAAAACAGTACTATCTGGCGACCTGCACGAAGTTCTCGGCCTCTGCAAGAAGAATGAAACCAAAGTAACGTCGCCTGCTAAAAAGTCCGATGCTGATGAATTAGTGGACAATGACGTCACCATGGTCAAAGATGGAGATGACGATGACGAACATGATGATGACGGAGTGTCAAGTAATTTTTTTAAATTTTTTTCTTAATTAATTTATCGATAATTATGATGATGCTAAGAGTGTAATGTAAATTAGCTCACAGCGTCTTCCACCAAATAAACGTTTAGTTTATTTACTATAGTTCAATTTCTGCAGCTGGCTTACTCACTGGCTTTAATTGTAACTGTTTAACTGTTTAATTGTAACGTCTCATAAATGTTAATAATATTTTCTCATTTCATTTCTTTTACACTTCCTTTTTCTGCAGAGGAGAAGAAACGCAAGTTCATATCTGAAAAATAATCTAGTGCTAGTGACCGAACAGTCTGCTGCTAGAACAGAAACTGATACAACGACATTAACATTTCATTATTTCTGTATTAGTATTTGTATTCTATTCTCTTGTTATACATACATTTAATGATCGGGCAATGGTTATAATAATGAGTTACTGTTGTCGTTAGTACGTTTAATCATTCTCATGTTGTTATCGGATTTTGTTAAGAGGAAGAGAAGTTTAAATTCGGGAACAATTTGATGTCATCTATATCATTTGGAACGTGTTAACAGTTAAATAATCAATTTAAATTTCAAGATGAACTAATACATTTTTATATTGTATGAGAGCAAACTCAATCAATAATACGTTCAGCTGTATATGAATAAGACTGTTCTTTAATGTTTTTACAATCTCTAGATGGTTGTAATTTGTAAATTACCCATAAAAAATTTTAGTCTATATTTTTTGTTGTGTATAATTTTTTTTTTTTTTTTTTAATTGAAGCATTAAGACGTCAAAAGAATGAATACTTTTGAACATTGATGTTTTCAATGAAAACTGTGTGACATTCTGTTAGTTTTAAAGTTTGAGAGTAACTGAATGGATATGAAATAAAACTGAGAACTGACATCAAAGTTTTCTAGTGATAGAGATAAAGATATCACCAAAGTTATTGAGAAAATCAACAGTGAAGGCTGGGATGGGCTTTGCTGCTGAGTTCCACTTGGAATATTGAAAACGTTGTCAATCAATCAATTAGCTTATAAAGCGCTATTTCCGCGATGTTCAACAGCGCTCCTCAATGAATTTTGAAAACAGATGGGTCTTGAGATCCGCTCTGAACTTCGCAAGTGATGGAGAAGTAGGTAGAGAGTTCCAGAGAAAAGGACCAGCAAAAGCAGATTTGGCAAAAGTGTGTTTAACACGAGTTAAGAAAAAGCGAGAAGAAGAAGACAATCGTAAACCGGGGCGTTTAGGTTCAATTAATATATCTGATAAATACTTAGGAAATAATTTAGATTGAGACTTATACATGAACGTGCAAATTTTGAAAATTATTCTATATTTTATAGGTAGCCAGTGCAAGAGAACAAGATATGGAGATATATGAGAAAAGAAAGGGGCACGAGCAACTAGAAGAGCAGCAGAGTTAAAAGCTTTCCTTAAAGGATAGAGTATAGAGTCAGGAAGACCATAGTAGAGCGAGTTACAATAATCAATCCTAGATAAGACTAACGAAGTAACAAGAAGGAGAAGAGTAGGATCATCAAGAAAAGGAAAAAGTTTTTTTATTCTACATAGATGAAAGTAAGAGCTTCTAGCAACACTATTAATCTGAGAAGAGAGAGACATAGTAGAATCAAAGATAAAACCTAGACTACGAAACTTATGAGAGACATCAAGAGTTTTAGAATCAGGTAAGATAATAGGGGGAATAGTAATTGAGTGTTTAGATTTATTAAAACAAATTAATTCAAACATATATATATATATATATATATATATATATATATATATATATATATATATTAACCTTATATATTAACAATAATTAATAAATTAAATAATAATTAATTTATTGATTAATTTTTTTGAAGAATGTTTTTACAATGAATATTAATTTAATCTCAAAGCATAAACAAAATGCTAAGCTATGTGTGTAGTCTCTGAATAACGTCCAACCAAGGCAGGTTGGGGATTTTTTTTTATTCAAATAAAAAAGTAAAAACCTAATTATGTGACACTCTAACTAATAATTTTTATTAGTTTTAATTTAATGTAATATTGAATGATATATAATTAATAAATTTAAATTATTTACTTTTTAATGTTGTAAATAAATGAATGAATAATAATTAAAATTATTCTTGTCACTACTCTACTTGAATTAATTTTTTTAGTCAGGATATTTTTTTCAGAATTCTTTTCATCAAACTTTTATTTTGCCACCACTATCAGCAGTAAGTGATTTGATCTGTCTATTCTCTATATTTTATAACAATGGCAGCAAAAAAACAAATTTCATTTGTGACTGGAAATGTGAATAAACTGAAGGAAGTTGTCAATATTTTGGGGTCAGAGTTCACAGAGAAAGTTGAGGTACATTTTTAGAGTTTAGCTTAGTATTAGAAATTGTTAGATATACAAACATTTGTTTAACTTTTGTATTTAACATACAGACAATTACTATTATAATTATATTATACGCAGTTGCATGTTTATCAAATTCTATATTCTATGAAAATATAGTAAAAAATATATATACTTAGCTTTGGAAATGTTATTCATCTCATTTTTTGTGATTCAATGTATGTGTGTGATTGATTTACTTACAAATATTTACATGTGCTTTGTTATGTGTGATTCATACTTCTGAGAAATATTAAAAAGAGAACGTTTAAAAATACAGATAAAAAATGTGGACATCGATCTACCAGAATATCAAGGTGATGCAGATGATGTCAGTAGATTGAAATGTGAGGAAGCAATGAAATCACTCGGGGGGGCTGTCCTGGTTGAAGACACCTGTCTGTGTTTTAATGCTTTAGGTGCAAGACTAGTTCATTTTATATTTTATTCATGTGGTAACATAGTACTTCCAAAATTCATCAAAAAAAAAAACATCTCAAGAACTATTTATTCAACTGCATGTAACCAAAAAATGAAAGTAGCATCATGAAGATCAACACCCAAGAAATGCCATATAAATTTAACTATACAACACAACTTCAACAATGGCCTTAAACCATAGAGTTTATATGCCTGTCTCAAAAACTAACAAAGTTCTAACTTAGTTTAATATTAACCATTCTACAGGTGGCATGCCTGGTCCTTACATCAAATGGTTCCTCAAGCCACTGGGACCCAAAGGTGTATTTTGTTTGAATCGCCTACTCTTTTATTTCAACTGTTTGGTTATTTAAAATATTAGCAATTCTTTACATTCTACATATTCATAATAGGCATATTTGTTCAACTAACTCTTCCATGGCATGTATATCACAATTTCCACAATTCATAAACTTTTATCTCTATGCTAAACGTTTCTATTTTGATTCATAATATTTTTTTACTCTTTCAACATTTTCCACATAAAACAAACCAAGGACTGCACCAGATGCTGGCTGGCTTCGATGACAAAACAGCAGAGGCCGTCTGCACGTTTGCCTATCACAGTGGTCAACCATGCGACAAGGTGATGCTCTTTAAAGGGGTCACCAAAGGTCGGATTGTTGCCCCTAGAGGTCCTGCGAGTTTCGGTTGGGATCCTTGTTTTGAACCCGAGAAACATGAGAAGACGTACGCCGAGATGACGAAGGAAGAGAAGAACAAGATATCTCACAGGTTCAAGGCGTTGGACTCGTTCAGGGAATATTTGAGAAATCACGTTTGAAATATTTGGTTTCTCTATATCTCTACAGAGAGATTTCCGTATTAATCACTCTGCCAAGTCCTTGTTTAAGCTTCTTTTTCATAGTGTGTTTTAAATCGTGTTTGAACTTCGAGTGTGTATTTTTTAATGTAATCTTTTTTAGGCCTTCAAGTAAATTTCATATTCCGCACAAAAAGCTTTAAAAACTACATAGTATTATAACTGTTTTCAAATGTTTGCTATCCTATTTTACTAGCTGTTTTTTATCTATCTATTTTTCGTAAAACCTCGTTTAAACGAGCTCTGTGATAATGTGTTGTCCTTGGATATAATGAGCAGGTTAATTAATAATTAATTTTTTTCATTTATTCATGATTTAATCTCATATCGTTGCTGCTTCTTGAACATTTTTCTCACGAATATTTTCCAGTCGGAATGAGTATTGGTTTGTGAGCCAGTAAATGAAAACCATAAAAATTTTCTACTTTATACATCGTTTTGTAGCTTTGTTCTTAATTTATCGATACTTAATTATCAAAAATTTATGATTTGCACTGAATAGTAATATATTTAAGTCATGTACATATACAGTATACACATAGGACCTTCACCCATTCATATATGTACAGTGTTGTGCTTGTTACTCATTGAAAGTAATTTGTTATTTTTACTTGTTACTTTGGGAAAAAGTAATTTGTTACTGTTACTTGTTATATTTATAGAAAAGTAATCTGTTACTGTTACTTGTTACTATAAAAAGTAACAAAGTTACTTTTTTGTTACTACAGTACAGCATACATGTAAACAGACGCTGCAAGTACTCTTTCATATATTCTCAATATCAACATTAATAGGTGCGCACATGAATATACATATACAATACATAGAAAGATAGTCAATAAGATACATGTAATTGGTAGCACCTAAATTTACAATGTACACAAATCACTTATTTGGCAGAAAATAATTTATTTGCCCGCAAAAGCAGTTGACGCTCAAAATGCTCATCAGTCATCCGATTCCTTCTAGGAACCAGTATCTGACCACCTAAACTGAAAAGTCTCTCAACCGGTGCACTTGAAGGTAATGGTGTATTGAATTTCTTGAACAACTTCAAAATACCCGGGTATTTTTGCAGGCATGCAATTTCACGAGAATTATCACTTAAATACAAGTCAAGTTCTGCAGCAGCATCAACGTTGTCACGTGGTTCATTTGCAAACGAAAAAAATTCATCATCTGACACAGTACCTGACTCATGCTTGTCATCAGTATCAGGCTCAGTGACCTGCTGCTGCTGTTTAGCAGCCTGCAACTCGCCATACAGTAAACTACGAGCAATCTTTTTCCTGTCGTTATTGTCAATCCATCTCATACGAAACTGAGGCAATGTGACACTAGCTATGATCAAATCATGACGTTCATCATAACCTTGAAATCGCTTATCAAGGCCGGATAAAACAGCAGTAAGCAAAGGCGCTGTCAACTTCAAAGTTGGTTTTACTGTTAGTAACTTTGTACGCAATGACATTAACGTTGGCAACAAAAACCCAATAAAACACTTCGTTTCTGCTTGGAGTATGTCCAATGCAGCTGCCAGTGGTTGCATAACACAACAATACTCTTTCAAGAAAAGGATGTCATTGGGACGAAATTGTGGGACCTCAAGAGCTACAAAAACTTCAGCAATATTGTCCTCAGAGCACAAAGCCGCTGAACGTCTTTCCAGAGTATCAGGATCAATCCAGTGCACTGTGATGCCTAGAAAGCTCCTGTTGTTGGATGACCAGATATCCGCTGTTGTGCACACATGATCGACTTTGCTGAGCGCTGCACAGATGCTTTCCTTCATCGTGTCCGCGAGTTTGTCCAACTTATCTGTAAACAGAAAGACGCGTGTTGCAAATTTAGTAGGGTCTTAAGGATTGTATTTACTTTTATTTGACATCGTTCAAAATAAGCAATTAATGTGACGAACCACAAAAAATCATATTATATTATAGAGATTGAACTAACCATTAAGAGTTTTTCTCGACAAAACTTTCTTTGTTGGCTGGAGACCTTGAACAAGCTCGATAAAGGGTTGAGATTCGACGATGCTCATTGGCTCCATATACTCGACAATGAAGTTTGTCACCAGCTGATCGACCTTCGCCTGCGAAATTACAGAACTACCAAGTGGGGTGCATGTTGTCACAGTTGCTTGTATGCAGGCTTTCTTTGCAGGCATGTCGGACACTTCACTAGTAGCCTTCCTCTTCCGGCATTCCTTTACTTTCTCCAAGATGTTTTGATGTTTCTTCTGTACAAGTTCACACATCATTCAATTTTAAATATTATTTCGTTAATATTTAAAAAAATAGACAAACACAAGCTAATATCCATTCAGTTATGTATGTTGTTCAATTCAGTTGTAAATAACAGCATTTGCTAATTCATCGGATGAATGCGGAATAAAAATTGGGTGTTGTAGATAATTCATTGCATCCCATTCAGGCATTATTTCGTTCCGAAAAAACCGATAATTTATTAAAAAACAAATTTTCGCTAACATTGAAAAAAACCTTACCTCCACGTGTTTTAAAAGATTCGCTGGGCTGATCTTCGATGTGCTAAGAATCGTTCGTTTTGGTAAGCACCGCTTGCACTGTACTCTCACATTCTTTCCTTCTTCTTCAACTACGTTAAAATATTCCTTCAGTTGTTCCATCCAAGCTACTTGGCCTACTTCATTATCAGTTGAATCCAATTCCTTCTCGTCTTCCATTATGCCAACTAAATCCGCGCAACTTACTAAATCACAAACCACGTGAAATGCTGAGACTGAGAGTAAACATAAACAAGAAAAGGAAGTGCATACAAGCATAGAATATTAAATTGGCAAGTCATGGAAATGGTTCGTCTAATGAACGACTGAGCCGCAACAGGACAACCAATGATGGTTATAAATCACGCACTGCTGAAAAAAGTAACGAAGAACAAAAGTGCATAATATTTGTTACTGTTACTGCAAAAAAATAATTTGTTACTGTTACTTGTTACCCTGCACAAAAAGTAATCTGTTACAATTACTTGTTACTGGAAAAAGTAATTTGTTACAGTAATTTTGTTACTAGTAATTTGTTACTCCCCAACACTGTATATGTATATATATATATATATATATATATATATATATATATACACATACAATTATTATTTTTTTATTCTTTAAAAATCAGGATCTGCCAGACGCAGAAACTGTTACAGCATGCAAGGCAGTAGTATAAAATTAAACTTTATACATTTTTTTGAGATTTTTCGTCAAAGGTACTGACATTCATAACTTGAAGTTATTTATTGCACGTTAAGTGTCTTTAATAGTGCCGCATATTGGCGTCATGATTTTTGAAATGTTCCAATTCCAGATGTACCTACTGTTGAATCTTTCAATGCTCCTATTGAAATATCACACTTTTCTCCGCACTTTTCTATTGTAGTTTTCAAATAAATGTAATTGCATCTAACGATGGTTTTCAGTTTGAAATTAAATAAATGACTAGCTATTCATTTTAAGCAAATCTAAAACCTGTAACGGAAATAAAAACATTCAAAATGAACTTACCATCAGAGTTAAAAACTCAAATTGAAATTTTTCTTTGAGCTAGATTACGGTTAAGCAAAATTTTGTATAAAAACTGCATAACGAGTAAAAGATTTTTTTATGTAAATAGAAATAACATTTATGTACTTTAATATTTGCAGTTGCTTTAAAGTAATTTTAAAAACATTTGATTGTTGAAGAAATGACTAACCACGGCTCCTCTCTAATAAAATAGCAACTTGTGTTCTGTTCTGAATGGAAAGAATGTGGGATGGAGAACTATCTGCTACTACGTGATCAGTCTTTATTTATTTTTAACAAATGAAATATCCGCGAGTAACAGCAACAACCTACAGATGAACTTGTATAAACTGAACTTGTATAAACATAAGAGACCAAACATTGGAGGTGATTTCGTAATATATACGTTATGAATCCATATTCTTTCCATTGTAGGGTTATGCTGCATATGAGCTGTTCTGACCAAATTGTTTTCAATTCTCAGTCACCAGTTTAGTTATTTTTTCATCAATAACTGCCTAGTTGCTCTAATATTGTTAAATTTAACGGCGCATACTTAATAAATTGAATGTTTTTTGGACTGACATTAAAAGAAATATTCGACCTTAATTATTAGCACAATTTAACAAAAATTCAGTTATTTTTAAAACATCCAAAATGCTTAAAATTTAATCAATTCAAATGGCCCGATGACATGAGCGAATGAGTTGGAAAATAAAACAAAAATTAAAACGCCATTAAAAATATAGGGTACCTCACAAGAATATAAACGCAAATTGTTATAAACAAACATAAAAACAAGCAGCCCGACGTACAATTAAAGAAACACGCAATCTCCTTTCACGAAAGTTTTAATCTAAAGCAACAACAGCAAAACATACTCAGAGTTAGAAAAGAAACTCCGACATACAAAGACAGACTTAGAGACACAGGGAGGCATCGTAGCGACACGCTCGATTTATTTTTGATGTGACAAAACACTATGAAACGAGCAGACGGATCCGTGGATGGAACCGTAAAAGCGCTAAAGTGCGCTGACCAAGCGTGGGAATTAAATTTATTTCAATCATCAAACTCTTAATAAGATCACCGCACGAAAATCTCATTGAGCCATTAATTTCGCCGGGCGGGAAAAAATTCTAATAAATGCGTTTGTCTTCTAGAAAGATCTCTCTCTTCCATTTTAATTTCTTTATATACGTTCGCGTGACTCGTTCTCGTTCTATTCAATTTGAAATTCAAATAGAATTCTGCTAACATTTTAAATTGTTTACCATCAATTTGTTTGTTTCGTTTCAGAGTTTACTCCATTTTCCAAAAAATGATACAAATTTGTTCCCAAGTGAACTTAACTGAAGAAACGTGCGTTTGAAGCCACATCAAACGACTCATTGGAAAAACTATAATAGCTTAAAACGAAAATTCTGAACGAGGATCTATGAAATTGAAGCGGTCACAAGTTTTACTACACAAGGATATATATATATATATTTGAAACATTAAAAATTTTGCTTCGGTATCAATACTTTGGTAAGTTATCAGGATTAAAGTATTCATAACTACTCTGATTTTAGTAACAAATTTTCAAGAAATTTCAATCAAATAATTCAAAATATATTATTTAAAAGTATAAATTCATTTCTTAATAAATTTCTTAATAAATTTAACAAAAAAACTAACCCAACAGCAAATAGAACAACGCATTAATTTTCAAGATTTCAAGCTAACCTATTCTTATAAAAAAAATTATAAATTAATGCTTCAATAATAACCAAATGCCAAAATAATAATTAAAACTAAATGACTATGTTAACATTTTAACACATATCAACAGTTCAATTATTGTACTAAAACGGAACGAGACAAAACGAAACGAGACGAGACAAAACGGATCCGAAGCCGTTTTTTATTAACACAATTTCAATAATTGCGTGTCGTTATTTCTTGGAGATGCGTTAACGATGCGGCGAGAAATTAAGATTATATAAGGTAATAAAACTATAAAACAAGTCTGGCGGGAAAAAGAAAGCACTCGTTTGCATTTTCATGTTGGCGCCGGTCAACTGTCGTAAATTTAAAGGACATTTCAGCAAAAAAATTGCCTCGCTTTTGATTATTGCTCTATCAAATTTGCATTTCAGAATGATATCCATCACGATACTGCACTGGCAGATATCCTACCTGCATTTCAGAATGATATCCATCACGATACTGCACTGGCAGATATCCTACCCGTCATGATATTGGGAAATAGTGTACTATTTCTTTTCTATTATTGCTTTATCGAATTCGCATTTCAGAATGGTACCTATCACGATACTGCATTGAAAAGGATACATATCATGATGCTTCTCTGAGAAAGATATATTCATGATACTGCATTGAGAAAGATATCTGTCATTTTGAGAATAGCTATATAGGGAAAGGAAGGATGTCTATCTCGAGAATATCTATTTTTTTTATTATTGGTTTTTCAAAACTGCATTTCAGAACGATATCTATCATGATACTGCGCTGGGAATGATATGTGTTCTGATATTGAAATAATCTGAAAATTCTTTTTCATCAGTGCATCGAGAATTGTGTCAATTACTTTTTATTATTGATTTACCGAATGTGCAAACTACACTGATACACGTATTATTTATCTCGTTGCAAATGACACACACACACACACACACACCCGCACACACACACACACACAAACACACACAAACACAAACACACACACACACATACACATACACACACAACACACGCACGCACGCACAAACACATATAAATATCATTAACCATAAAATCGTTGTGATTATTATTATTATTTTTCCTTTATTTTTCCTAAAATAAAGCATTTTATATGTGATATTTGTCAATGGAGTTAAATGAAAAAATGCTTTATATGATCATCCCAATAAAAATTGCTATCTCATTTTTATAAAGGCGATAAACTTTTAAAGACATTTTAGTCTGCTAGGTCTATGCGGGAAAAATATTAGGTACATTATCCATACATATATACAAAGATATATATACATACACAGTCTATATAAGTTTGTGCATTTTATACACTAGTGGTAAAAATGCATTATTGTTTAGATGTGTTTCTGTCTGTCTCTTTCTCTCTCTCTCTCTCTCTCTCTCTCTCTCTCTCTCTCTCTGTGTGTGTGTGTGTGTGTGTGTTAGTGTGTGTGTGATCACTAAAAATGAAATTGTAAAATAGAAATCTGAGTTTGATTTTTTAGAAATCTGAGTCTGATTTTTTTTTCTTCAAGTTATGGAATAGTAACGTTACTTAAGCTAACCGCAGCAAGAAGAGGCTCAGTGGAAGAAAAATCCTAAACTGCAGACGGAAAATTCTTCATTTTCAAATTGTTTTAGAATATTCAAACCAAAATACTCCACACACACATACACACACGCACGCACACGCACACACACACCACAAACATATACACACGCACATGGAGCCTATTGTTTCGATAAATTTTCACTGTAATTATATACACCTAACATTTAACAAGGCAAATAACACATCATACATGACATATAAAGCGATTTATTCATTCATTCATTCATTCATGGCAAAAAAAATTACGACGTTGATGACGACGATCATGATGAATGGGTAATTGTGAATGTTTAATCGTTCAGTAGTCGGAATGGAACAAATATACAGTCACTTTTTAACACTCGTCCTACGTCGGCCTTTGTTTTATTCGTTCATTTTTCTTCCTTTCCCTCTTTCAATCAATTATTCGTCACTCCTTCTTCATTTTTAAAAATTTAAAAATTAGTTAAATTCCGGAAGTATAACAAAACGAAAAAAAGTCATCAGTGATGGGCCGATGAATATAATAAAAGACCAGGATGAATAATAAAGATGGCTGACG